TTCTTGAGGCAATTGGGGTTAAGTGACTTGCCCAGGGTCACACAGCTAGTGAGTGTCAAGTACCTGGTCTGAGGCCAAACTTGAACTCAGGTCCTCCTGACTCCAGGCCTGGTGCTCTATGCACTGTGCCATTTAGCTGCCCCTGGTCCCTCTTCTCTATTCCCATTACTACTACCATAGTATTGGCCTTTATTACTATGCATCTAGTTTATTGAAGTAGCCTCCTAATGACTTTCCATTTCCACTATTTGATCCCACCCCCAATCTGTGCTTTCTGCTTTTAGATTGTTATACATTGATCCAGCTGTGCCATTTTTCTTTTGTTGTTAGTTTTTAAGAAAAAAAATTTTAATTAACAAGCCTTTATTTTTTCTCCCTCCTGCTTCCTCCCTCAAACCCCAGTGGGGGGTGGGGGAGGACAAAAAAAAATCCCCAAATCCTTGTATCAGATATGCTTAGGTGAGCAAAACAAATTTCCCATATTGGTCATGTCCAAAAATGTACATTTCAATCTGCATCTTGAGTCAGTCATCTTGGAAATAAGGCCTTTTTCAGAGAAGCTTACTATGAAGATTTTTTTCCCCAGATGACTGGTTCCTTTCTCATTGGTTCCTTTTTTCATTGGTTTTGTTTGTAAAAAAAAAAATTTCATTTTAATTCCATTTTTTCTGTTCGGAGGTCATCTTCTCCTTACTGCCTGCTGATTTAAATTCAGGTTCCTCTGCTTGTCATCTCTGTACTCTTGCACTGGCCTGCTTTTTCTCCTCTTATCTCTTGTCAGTCATCTTACCTGCAACATGAGCTTTCGTCAAATTGGACTACTCTCTTTTCACCAAATATGCTTGATGTTTTTCTGTGCACACAGGGCTTTATGCCTACTTCTTCCCTTCGCCTACTGAATTCTTAAATAGCCTTTAAAGCCCACTCAACTTCACTGCTTGTATGAAGCTTTCCCCTCTGTTCCATTAACAACCTTGTCAGTATCCTGCTCAGAAATGTAGAATTGAAATTGCATATACAGACATGAAATACTATTTTTTTAAGTGCTGGAATGCTAACTCATATATGGCACTTGAAGGTTTACAAGACACTTTCCTCACAAAAACGCTATAATTTAGTGCAAGTATTATCTCCATTGTACAGATGAGGAATCTGAAATATTAAGTGACTTGCCTCAGATCACATAGGAGGTGGCTAGGGTGTGATTTGAAACTGGGTCTCCTGACACGTCAGTTAAAGGATGAAGGAACTGACTTCAGAGAAGAAAAGTGACTTGTTCAAAGTCACATCTTTATGGGTCCCTTTTTTTTTTTTTGCTTAGGCATTTGGGGTTAAGTGACTTGCCTGGGGTCACACAGCTAGTAAGTGTCAAGTGTTTGGTCTGAGGCCGTATTTGAACTCAGGTCCTTCTGACGTCAGGACTGGTACTTTATCCACTGGGCCACCTAGCTGCCCCTTTATGGGTCTCTTGATTCCTTGTTCATTGATCTTTCCATCATACTGCGCTAACTCTAAATCTAACTCTTTGTGACTCTAAGTCACAAAATGAGTGATGCAGGCCATCTAGAAAAGAGTGAAGTTCAGTATGGAAATAAATGTTAAAATAAATAAAATGTCATTGGAGTTTTTTATTTTTATTTTTTTAAGTAGGCATGTAAGTGTGGTCTAAGGCATACCTGCGGGCTGCAGACACCTGGCTACCCAAGCGTTGCAGCAAAGGGTCTTTGATTCAGTATGCAATTCCATAAATAAGTAAGCAGCCCTTCTGTCAACTGAAGAAATAATGCCTCAAACATATATTACTATTTTTCTTTTTTAAAAAATATTCTTTTCTCAATTACATGTAAAAACAATTTTTAACATTCATTTTTTAACATTTTGAGTTCCAAATTCTCTCCCTCCCCACTCATTGAGAAGTCAAGCAATTTGATATAGGTTATACATGTGTAGTCATGCAAAACATATTTCTGTATTAGTCGTGTTGTGAAAGAAAACACAGACCCTCACCCTGAAAACAAGAAAGAAAATTTTTTAAAGCCTGCTTCAATTTGCATCCTGGCTCCATCAGTTTTTTCTCTAGAGGTAGATAGCATTTTTCACATGAGTCCTTCGGAATTATCATAAATCATTGTATTGCTGATAATAGCCAAGTCATTCCCAGTTGATGATCATACAATATTGCTGTTACTGTGTATGTTC